AATAAGTGTGTATATAGTGCGTGTGTCTATACTGTGCGTCGATAGTGAGTGTGTGTGTCTATAGAGAGTGGTTGTCTATAGTGAGTGTATGTCTATGGTAAATGTGTGTCTATACTGTGTCTACAGTGAGTGTCTGTGCTGTCTATAGTGAGTGTGTATGTATAATAAGTTTGTGTCTATAGTGTGTCTATACTGTGTGTCTATAGTTTGTCTATACTGTGTGTCTATAGTGTGTATATAGTGAGTGTGTCTATACTGTCTGTCTATCGTGAGTGTGTGTATTCTTTGTATCTACAGTGTGTGTCTATACTCTGTCTACAGTGAGTGTGTGCGGACATTATCGAGAAAAATAACCGTGGTATATAGCGAGAGAAGAGTGATAAGGAGGCGACTGGCCGCCGCTGAGTGAGCGAGTGACCCCAGAGAATCGGTAAGTGACGGGTCACCAATCACCATGAACCATGACCGCTACCCCATTATGCATTCTGCCGGAGGTAGTATTAAAGCAGGAACTGAGAGTTATTTGGGTCTTTCGGTAAAGTCACGTAAATAGGTTCAAAATTAATGAAAAATAAGTTATATTTTTTAAAAAAGATTTAAACACGGCTTTCATGAAATGTACCGTACGAGTAATGGCAGAACTGCATGACTCCAGGAAGTGGCCCCCAAGCTTGCTATAACGTAAGGGGCTGTGGTGATTTACAGCCAACGTGAGTTGAACGTGAACAATTAGACCCAAGCTGAAACATAACATAAAAAGATTGTTTAAAAATATATATCTATTTTTAAATAGAACATAGTATTGTCATCAGTATGACATAAGTTTACCAAGTTTACAGTCGATACCACATTGGAAAGTCGGTAAAACTTTAGTTACAAGATTTGAGGATACAACAACAGACAGAGTGAGTTAATAGAAAGCGTGTAATAAAAAAAACCCACGACGTTTCGATCGCAACACAAGCAACTGTCTTCAGGAAGACGACTTTACCGCAAGACCCAAAGAATATTAATTTCTACAGTCACGAGAGCTTTAAGTCAAGATAGGAACTGAGAGCTTAACCCCAGAGATAATAAAGTAAAAACAACGCTGGCGCTGGAAGTGAAAGATCCAAGCTCTCCGCAGTGCCGAGCCCTCAGCCACCAGATACTTGACAGAAGCCGTTCCTTGACAGGTCGGATGAGATTTTCGTGACGTGAGCAACCATCAGCTACACAGAAAAAGCCACCCCACGCCCGTATAGCCCTTAACAGATTGTTGGGGCAAGTGTGGTTAGCGAGAAGCACCTTTGAAGGCCAGCACTGTGGCACACGAGGGGGTTGGTGTGGCCAACTCCACGCCCGTCCACCTTTGTCTCGCGAGTGGCGATGTTTCACACACACACCGTACCAGGTTACTCATTTGATGCCGACTTGACCTAGGGAAAGCCCAAGACCGGTTCAGATAATTGCCACTGGTGTTGGCCGTGAGCGGGAGTCGAACTCGGGTCACGAGGTTCGTAGCCCAGCACGCTAACCGTTGCGCTACCGCTCCCCACACAACAACCGCCATTCGCCACTAAGTGGCGTTGATGTCACCACTACGCTTGTGCCAGGCCAAGTGCACCTTGAGGCCACGTGAAGTGTCGAACGCCCGCTGGCAGGAGGTCACGGGGCAGACCCAGCAGGTGCCACGGGTCGACTGACCGAGATGACCGAGATGACTGGCTGATGCACCACCTGTGCCCCCTACTGTACCAACTTGCTGTGCTTTAGCTACCCGGCGCTCCGCTCGTTGTTGTGAGCGTCGCTCCTCTGCCCTTTGTTGTTGTTGGAGGGCGACCGCCTCCAACTGCCCAGTAGCGTCCTTCACGAGCCTCCTCCACTGAGGCCGATCTTGACACCGCTGGTACCAGTCATCGGCAAGTCCACTCAGCTCCACGTCCTCCTGTACCACATCACTCCATCTCTTCTCTAGCCCGTGCCGCGCCCGTTTAGCCCCCTCGATCCGGCCGAACAAAAGCTGTTTAGGCATGCGGTGGCTGGGCATGCGGGCTACATGACCCAGCCAACGCAGCCTTGCCTGCCGGAGGAGCTCACCGATGGGACTTTGCCCAGATCTTTCAAGGATTTGTGAGCTCCTCACACAATCCAGCCTGGTTAAACCCAGGATGGATCGTAGGCAGGCCAGCCTAAATGTTTCCAACCGGCGAAGATGCTCCACTAGGGGGGTCCACGTTTCGCAAGCGTAGAGAAGGGAGATAATGACCGTGGCCGAGAAGACCTGATGCTTCGTGCGGAGCGACAGACCAGGTAGCTTCCACACAGTGTTACGCAACCGATGAAAAGATATTGCTGCTCGACTGATTCGGAGTGAGACCTCTGCTGATAAACTGGAGCCGGTCATAAGCACACTGCCCAGGTATGGGAAACTCTCCACTCTCTCCACAACTGCCCCATCACCGATTGGGAGTTGTGGGGGTGGAGTGTCCGATGGTACAAAATACCCAGGCAGGTGCTTAGCTTTGGTGGGGCTGATGGTAAGGCCCCACCTCTTAGTGGCACGCTCAAGTCTCAGCAGCAGCGTCTCCAACTCCTCTTCTGAATGAGCAGCTATTACCAAATCATCGGCATACATAACGTGGTTGACCAATAGGGAGCCATCCCTTGATCGCACCCGGGCATCGATCAGCCTCCCATTATATCTGTACCAAATGGAAATTCTCCCGGTACAGCTATTGAAGGCTTCACGAACTACGCAGTCGAAATAGATGTTAAATAATGTGGGATCCAGAGGACATCCCTGTCGCACCCCAAGGTGTACAGGGAAAGGCTCCGACTCCCGGCCACGTAGTTTTACCCGGGCCCGCTCACCATCATGAAGGTCCTTAATGATCATGAGCAGAGGGTCAGGGACTCCGAAAGCACGAAAAACAACCCAGAGTCCAGGCCTACTGATGGTATCATAGGCCTTGACCAGGTCAATAAAGCAGAGATGTAGGTCTTTTTGGAATTCCCTACACCTCTGCTGTAGCAGACGGATAGAAAATATGGCATCTGTGCAGGACCGCCCATTCCTGAAACCGCATTGGGGCTCCGCAAGCCTCTCCTCAGCGTGCCTAGCAAGGCGATGTTGAATAATCCTTGCCAGGACCTTTCCCGGCACACTGAGGAGTGAGATGCCCCTGTAGTTGTTACAGTCTGTGCGGTCCCCCTTCTTAAAGAGGGGGACCACCAGGGCATCCTTCCAATCCTGCGGTACCCGTCCAGCGGTCCAGACTGTTGTTATGATGTCCCCACACAGACACAGACTCACATCTATAGACCAACACACCCGCCATTCGCCACAAAGCGGCGGTGACGTCACCACGGCGCCTGTGCCAGGCCAGGTGCACTTTGAGGCCACGTGAAGAGTCGAAGGCCACACACACACCTTCACACATACACACATCTACAAACACCTACACACAGACACACATCTACACACAGACACACATCGACACACACAGACTGTTGAGGCAAGTGCTGTTAGCTAGCAGGTCGGAACGGCACACAAGGGGGTTGGTGGCAAGTACCACCACCTTTGTCTCCCTAGTGGCGATGCTTACACATCGCATCAGGTACGCATTTGAGGCTGAGTCGACCTAGGGGAGGTCCAGGACCGGTCTAGATAATCGTCACACGAGTGTTGGCCTTGAGCGGGAATCGAACACGAGCGCGCGAGCTGCTACACTATATCACTCCCCAGTCACACATCTACACGTACACACAGAAGCACACACACATATATACACACATCTACACACAAATACACACACACAGACACACATCTACACACACGAAACACTTGGCGCATGCCACCTCTGCCCACGTGCTTGTTGTAAAGCAACTCTCTCCAAGCCACCCGTTTTGGGTTGTTAAGACCATTCGACCTATTTACAGAACTGCTGAGTGATGGTGATAAATACACCACACAGGCAGGCGCGTGGGGTTATTATACTGGGTGGCTAAAAAAATCAGGACACGTTGGGTTAATGTACAGGGTGGCCCAAAAAGTCAGGACACATAGGTTTATTATACAGTACATGATGGACCAAGAAGTCATGACACAGGATTATTATACAGTATAGCCCAAAATTCAGGACACATAGCATTGTCTTATAAGGTGGCCCAAAAAGGTAGGACACATAGGGTTATTGTACAGGGTGGCCCAAAAGTCAGGACACAGGGTTATCATACAGGGTGGCCCAAAAAGTCAGGACACATAGGGCTATTGTACAGGGTGGCCCAAAAGCCAGGACATATAGTTATCATAGAGGGTGTCCCAAAAAGTCAGGACATATGGGCTTATTATACAGTATGGCCCAAAAGTCAGGACACATAGGATTGTTTAATAAGGTTACCCAAGAAGCAAGGACACATAGGGTTATAATTATACAGGGTGGCCCAAAAAGTCAGGACACAAACGGGTATTGTACAGGGTGGCCCAAAAAGCCAGGACACAGAGCGCGATTGTACATGGTGGCCAAAAAAGTCGGAACACATAGGGTTATTATAGACGGTGGTCCAACAGTCAGGAAACAGAGTTATTGTACAGGGTGGCCCAAGAAGTCAGGTCACAGGATTAGTATACAGTATGGCCCAATTCAGGACACATAGCATTTTCTATAAGGTTGCCCAAGAGTCCAGGGCACATAGAGTTGTTATACAGGGTGGCACAATAAGTCAGGACACAGGGTTATTATACAGGGTAGCCCAAAAGTCAGGACACATATGGTTATTATACAGAGTGGCCCAAAAAGTCCGGACATTTGGGCTTATTTACAGTATAGTCCAATAAGTCAGGACACATAGGATTGCTTTATAAGGTGACGCAAGAAGCAACGACACATAGGCTATGTTTTCCAGGGTGGTCCAAAAGCCATCAATGATCTCTGACCATCAGCCGCTCGCTAGAGGATCTCCCCCACCCCTCAATTCGTGTTGAAATACTAGACAGAAGATACGGACATTGTACTCACATAGTCCTCGCGTGTGTCGCTCCTTCTCTCTCTCTCTCCCCGTCTTTCTCTCCTCCTTTCTGGGTACCGCAGCTTCGAGTCTTTAACGATGGCGTATAATGTTTCGTGACGTGGAAATGAGACAGACGCATTTGCAGCATCGACTAACGTCACGAATACAAAGTGCAGCACCTGTTTGTGGCATCTGGAAATTCCAGTGTATGAACTCTGTACTCACTGTTTAAATGTATGCAAGTAACCCAAAAAATGTCATGAATGATAAAAATGCATTGGGCGTTGTCAGTGGCGGTAGTTTCGGTAGTGGTGGTGATGTTGTCGGTGGTGGTGGTGGCGGTGCGTGGCTTAGAATCGTCCAGCGCTGTTGTGGAGGCTGTAACGAGGGTTGGAGGATCGCACACTGATGTGTTGTGACACTCCATCCCTTGGCGTCGAGGAGAAGCCGTAACCCTGGTTCTGCCAGGTGAAGGTCCAAAGTGTGTGGACTAATCTCCATCTGGTCCACACTCCCTTCCCAATTGGAATTTTTAATGGTATCGCTATGTTCCCAGTCGCGCAGAAACACAAAGAGCGACAACGCAACCAGTTCCGTGTCATATTTTTTGGGTCTTTCGGTAAAGTTACACAGACAGGTTCAAATAAAATAACAAACAATAGCAAAAAACTACGATGTTTCGATCGCAACAGAAGCATTCGTCATCAGGAAGAACGCTTGTGTTGCGATCGAAACGTCGTAGTTTTTTGCTATTGTTTGTTATTTTCTTTGAATTTATCTACGTGACTTTACCGAAAGACCAAAGAATATGAATTCCTGCAGTCACGAAAGCTTTAATTCAAGATTTAAGTTTCGTATCAGTAATACCACCGTAGGCTGGCTATACGGGGAATGTTTGTGCTTGCATGTTTCCTTAAAAGGAAAAAAACGTGTAAAGGGTGACGTTCTGGCCATTGACCCGTATTCATGGAACGTGCCCAAACAGGTTATTATCATTGTTGTGCAAACTGCTTTTAAGAATTGGGAAGGCAATCTTACTTTAAAACTATCTCACGGAATGCACGTGGGTTTCCGCATGCGTTTCTAGTATTGGCCTAAAAATAGCCACATACGAACACCTTCTGCAATGAACCATTTGCATGAGGAACAAACATGTTCTGGTTTTTGACAAGACAAAGATCCCCTGTATAGTCTTAGTAGGCTGTTGGGGCAAGTGCTGTTAGTGAGTAGCAACGCCATATGAAGGACGGCATGACACACGAGGGGGCGGTGTTGCCAGTGCCACGGCCGTCCTTCTTTGTCTCCCCAGGGGCGATGTTTCAGACAGACCACACGGGAACTAATTTGAAGCTTAGTCTACCGAGGGGAGGCCCAGGTACCGGTTGTTCCGATAATCGTTACTGGTGTTGGTGGCCGTGAGCGGGAATCCAACTCGGGTCTTCAGTGCTAATACCTTGCTGTCTATGTTCAGGTGTTATATTTTTACCCCCCTGATTCCACTCGATATTCCATTTTCATACCTCCTCCTTGTCTCATCGTTCTCGAGTGCCTCTATGTTCCTCTTCTCATATTCGGTTCCCGATGCACGTTTTAGTTTTAGTCGTAGGTTGTATCGTACCAAGCTGTTGGCCGAAGAGACATCGGCTCCTTGGAATGTTCTGTAAATTCGAAGTGATGTTTTCCAGCATCTTTTGGTCATTACCAGATCTGTCGTATTCGTATGTTTTACATCCGGTACCCTTCATGTCAATTTTCTGCACTCCTTTTGTTTGAACTCAGTATTATATATAGGTATGTCATCTTTTGAACCGAATTCTAGCAGTTGCTCACCTCTTTAATTTATTCTTCCATACCCATACTTTTGCATATGATCTAGTGGCACCAGCGTTGCCTACCAGATGATAGAGAGTCCTCACGAGTTGTCCTAGCAAATGTATTAATTTGGTTATTGTTCGTTAACTTAAATAAATTGTCAGTCGATTGTTGTGTAATTGTGTCGAATATATTCCAATAATCCGTAGATATAGTGTTAGTTATTTGTAAGTGTAAGTACAAGTACTGATCTACAAATGCTAATTAGTTCATTCATATTATACTATATTCTCTCTTTTCACAATAACACAATATGTAGCATTTCATTAGCTTTAAGATACTTAATGTTACGTGTTAGTTTAACTGTGTTTTGTAGTACCTTTGAATCTCTGGGTGTTTTGAGGAACGACAGCGAAGACATCAGTTTCAACTGCTTGATATGGGGATTAATGTCGAAAAAACATGTATCTATACATAAATACAATGAATATATAAGTGTAATACAAATATAACACGAATGTAAATCCATATGATATGAACATATATGACAGTATATAAATAAATGCATATATATAAGCTGGTGCTTATGGGTGAATGGCTTATGCTCCCCATATCTGATCTAATCTGAACGTGACTAGGCATTCCATTACATACCAATCCACGTGAGGTGCTGTGAGTCTATGGCTCTCTTTTTGAGTATGCAGGTCTCTGTGTGAGTCGATGGATCTCATTGTTAGTCTGTAGGTCTATCAGTGTAGGTTTTACCCTTTATGGAAATAAAACAGGTATTAAGATGTTAAAACACCACACTTAAACCTTTTGCAATGAATCATGTCTGCATTAACTACATATACTTGTAGTGAACATGCAAACAAAAAACATGCTCTGACAGTGTATGCATTGTCTTTGAAACTGATTGGTCCACACCAGAGACAGCTTTCTTTAGAGCCTAGTCTCAAACAGTGTTAGACCAGAGGACGCCAAAAGGCGAACAGCACAAAGACAATGCACTACCAGGACATTGAGAGCTCGGGGTGAGCAGTTACATCATGGGACCTCCTTTGCCAGTATCAAAATATAAGAATAGGTTTTACCCTTTCTGGCAATAAAACAGGGGTTAAGATGTTAAAGCACCAAATTGGAACCTTTTGCAAGGAATTATGTCTGTATTAACCACATATACTAGTGGTTTAATGCAAACAAACAAAAAAACATGCTCTGACATGATTCCTTGCAAAAGGTTTAAGTTTGGTGTTTTTACATCTTAACACATGTTTTATTGCCAGAAATGGTAAAACCTATTCCTATATTTTGATACTGGCAAGGGAGGTCCCATGGTGTGGTTTGTAGGTCTTTGTGTGAGTTTATGGGTCTTCGAGTCTGTGGGTCTCTACGAGTCTATGTGTCTCTATTTGAGTATGTGGGTCTCTCCGTGAGTCTGTGAGTCTCTGTGTGAGTTTATCGGTCTCTGAGTCTGTGGGTCTCTATGAGTCTATGCGTCTCTGTTTGAGTATGTGGGTATCTGCATGAGTCTATGGGTCTCTGTGTGAGTCTGTGTGACTCTGTGTGAGTTTATGTGTATCTATGTGAGATTGAGTGTTCATATGAGTCTGTGGGTCTCTGTGTATGTATATATGTTGAACATCTATCGCACCATATGTAGCCAAATGTGCTAATATGACGTGCGGGGGAAGGACAACAAACTAAAGAAATTAGTTTTCAATCTCGATAGAAAATGCTGCTGTGGTTTGGTCCTCAGGGACGCTTTTGACTCAATGTGGAGAAGTCCTTAACTCCAGCAATACTTATAAATGGTGATCGAAATGCTTTGCTGCTGAGGTCGCCTGTCTGCGAGTTGCCCTTGAAAAATATCTTTATAACTCAATGGACTTTATTCGGCTTATAAACTTCTAGGTAATAAACGTCGGGGAAATAAACTTGCAGGTAATTAACTTCCGAGAGTGGACATGCTGCACGTAAATGTCGTGGGTTTACTCTCCAACACAACATTGTGCTGAACTAGTAACTAATTGGAATGTTTTATTTACTTGCCAAACCTCACAAATTGGCTGTGTCGGCTGGTGGTGGGTATAATAACTCATTTATATTTATACGATCTAACAAAAAAAAAACCTCCGTTATGGGTAAATTATTTTATATGTTTCCTTGACGATATCAGTAAGTTATTGTGGTTAATTCGTGGCAAGCACTTTCTGTGTAATGAGTGTGACCTTATACTGGTAGGAACGAAGTGGACCAGCCACCAGTAGATTATATCGTCCGTCCGTTTGTCCGTCCGTCCGTCCGTGTAGCAACATCGCCCCCTACTGCAAACACTTGGCATGACCCTACAAAAACCGAGACCTAGGCCTGAAACTCTCCCTTCGTATCGTACCCCCGTGTGTGTGAAAGGGAGTTAATGTTTAACAATGTTACATTCCCTGATGTTTTTAAATAGCAACATTTACATTTAAAGCTTTTACATAAATAATTAAAACATTTATATTAACAATTAACTCACGGCGGCCTAAGGCCTACAGCTAGGCCTAAAGCCTAGACCTAGGCCTCAAACTCTCCCTTCGTATCATACCCCCGCGTGTGTGAAAGGGAGTTAATGTTTAACAATGTTACATTCCCTGATGTTTTTAAATAGCAACATTTAAATTTAAAGCTTTTACATTAAAAACAACTCCCTACCCCCCCCTCGTCGGCGGCTCTCCAGCCGAGCCAGGCCTGGGAATCTCTCCCCCGCTCGGGGTGTATTGGGCGGGGCTACAGCGGCAGGGGGCGGGGCTACGCGGGGCTGGGCGGGGACACCGAGATGGAGCGGGGCCACGGGTGGCCGGGGCGGGATTACGCGGGTGGAGGGCGGGGCCACGGGGGCAGAACGGGGCCACAGGGGACCGGGGCGGGGTCAAGCTGTGTGAGGCGGAGCTTAGCGCGATGGAGGGAGGGGCCGTTGGCGAAAAGGGGCGGAGTCTACAGTCGAGAATACAGTACCGGGGGCGAGAAGGCGGGGCTAATAGTGATAGGGGCGTGGCCGACGGCGCTGCATATCGTGCAGATTGTTACTACTCACTGTCTGCTCCAAGCTGCACTCACGTAGGTACATACTTGTGCAATACTATTATTTTTTGCACAACGGTTACTACTACTTTATTGTTTCTTATGTTCCACTACGTCTACGTTTCCATCCACTTATTGGCGCCCATTTTTTGCCATTTCATTTTATTATAGCCATTCAATTGTTCGGTCCTACCAGCCCACCCCACAGGGACCTGTTAATGTATTCGTTCGGAAACCAGAAGCCAAAGCAGCTCGGCGAGATCTGGACAGACACGGTCAGATCTTGCAGTACCCATTATGACACGTGCCAGAG